GTACCACAGAAGGGTCTAAGCATAATTAAAAGCAAATGGATCACTTAATAACTAAACGCTTCATTGATAAGTCGTCTTCTGTCTTGGTGTCGATGGTGTGATGGCACAAATTGGATTAGTTTTTGCCTTATACGAGTAAAGGATTTTTTTGCTGAGTTGAAACGCCTTAAGTGATGTATCGCTTGTCAAAAGTTCTACTTGAAGAACGTATAAATACTGACAAATGATCTGCAAGTAATCCCTTAGCCTTGTTGATCATAATAATATATGATTTTGCAAAATAAAAATTGCAGCCTTAGTAGAGCCTGCCGCGAATAAATTTGAGTTTAAATAGCTACGATATATCGGTAATTTAACGAAAATTTTAAAGCTACTATGAATTGACAAAAAGATGGTTGGAATGCAGAAGAAGTCTTCACTAAACGAGGAACGGACTTTGCAGCCTGAAAGTGTCTTGACCTGTCAATTTAAATAATGTCTATATTTCTTTAAAAATATGAGATTGAAACCCATAGTTAATACCTTTTTCATTATTTAAAAAATTACAAAAAAAACCATTAATATTTTGTTTAATTAAGAAAAGAAACTCAATTTTTATTCACTGGAGCTAAGTTCATTCCAATTTTACTTAAAAAAACCTTTAGAACTCAAATGATCTTCGTGACTCTAAAAAGTAAATATTTACAGTCCGGTATTTAAAACATCAAACGACATAGAAGAAAGCCGAAATTTTGTTTCAAATTTACTAATTTTTAATCAAATTAATCGCCTGATTTTTAGGCACCCCTCTCTGTTATAAATCATTGCGAATTAATAACAAGTCTTATTTGGGGGCATTTAGGAGCAGGCATTTTTCTGGATGGATATTTTTTGTTTTACCTAGCCCTTCCTTTCGGCGGCATTTTAAGTGCCTAACGTCAGTCCTGTTCTGACGTCTATGCTGCATTTAGTACAATACTCTTGAACCAAACCATTTGCAAATGCCGTGTGAATTTGCGACTGTCTGAAATTATTTGCGCAATATCCACCAAAATCTTTTTTTTTGTTAATTGTAGGTGTAGGTGGCTCACCGTTTTCGCATGCAAGATTGAATAACACGAAGATTGCGAGAACGCTCCATATGGGATGGTAGCACTCGAAATTAGACGTAGGCTCCAGAGCTTATTGGTGCATGACCAAATTTGTCTGGATGCTTTCTACGAGAGCAAAATTACACTTAAAAAAGAAAAATTTTAACGATCTTTTAGGATTTTGAAAGGCTTGGACACGAGGTTTCAGAACGCCAAGTGACAAGTCTACGTGAGTTGCTTAACCTCTCAGATTAACAGCTTTGACGACGACGACGACTAAGAAACAGCACATTCGATGGCACCGCAGGTTAGACGAATTCCAACAGTAAGGAAAAAGGCTTTGAAAGCACGGGAATCAATTTGTTGTGTTCTTGGTGACGACATTGTGTCTTATGAACCGTGGAAGATAAGGTACAAGCGTTTCAGGAGTGATGATTTCGACCTCTTTGACCAGCCGCGTCGCGGGCAATAGCCTCGAGTGTTTGAAAATGCGGAAGTGCAAGCTCAGCTGGATGAAGACTCAACGCAAACGCAACAGGAGCCTGCAGCTCAGTTAGGGGTCTCCCAAGCACCCATTTTCAGGCTTTTGCAGCACTAAGCTGGAAAAATTCAAGAACTTGGAAGTCGGGTCCCACATGTGTTGACCGAACACAACCTAGGTTAACGTGCTGTTCACTGCTTGCTACCTTGGCAACAAATAAAAGGACTTCTTGGGAAAAACAGTGGCAGATGATGACAAGAAAATTTTTTTTCAAAAATCTCAAACGTTAAATGCTGTGGGTAAGTCCCAGGCAAGCCAGTATATCGACGCCGAAACAGGGCATCCACTTAAAGAAGGTTCTCCTGTGCATCTGGTGGCACATACTTGATGTACTTTATTACTAACTTGTAGAAATTAGGCAGATGTCGACTGCGGAACCCCCCCATCTGATGAGAAAAGGCCATTTACTGGGCAAGGAACCAGGCAACGCTCGACCACCTCGCGCGACTCACAAGGCTTTCCTGAAAGTGGGATGAAAAGTTCTTCCACACACTGCATTTTTACCTAACATGGCCCCATCCGACCACCATTTTTGCCAGTCGATGCAGCAGCGCGCCTCAGTAGATAAACCGTTCAAAACGCAGGACGATTCGCGTAGATTCGTCGATGATGACTTGATTGCCTCGAAGCCTGAGAGGTAGCTTGAGGTTATAGAAAACGATGGACAATAATTTATTGCTAATCGTTAATTTGCTGAAAAATCTGTACAAATTAAGTCTTACGCCTAATAGTCAGTACCAATTAGAAATTCCGCTTAGATCTATAAGCATCATTGCAAAATGTCTTCAAATCGGCTGCGGAGATGGCTGAAACATGCACCTTTGACAGTTGCTTGAATGCGTCTTGATGTGTCACCTTCGCGTCTTGTTTGTTTGAGGGAGAATTAAACAGAGCAATAAGTGTTTGAGATGTTGACTGGGGTTGTGATTCTGCTGTAACGACAGTCAAAATGAGGTCTGATCGATTTTAATTTGACGATTTCTCTAGTCGAAACAATAATAATAATAATGATGATGATGATAGTGACTTGATCAGTGATTTGGTTAATGGTGCCAATAACGGACGTCAGCTAAGTGACTAATTACTTTAACATTTCGACTGTAATAAATGGTTTTAAACAAATTTAGCTAATGACTTTAACTATTTCTGACAGACGGTAGCAAATTCTTTTCGCCTGTCAGCACAACAAATCTCCTGTGGATTAGGTCATAACTGAGTAAGAGATTTTTTTTGTTTAAAATGACAATATGAAAAAGAAAGCAGGCAGTAAATCTTGAACAATTATTTTTTTGTGGCGAATCGCTAAAAAACTAGTTTACAAGGAGGACATTCTGCGTGGCCAGACCGCACCTGCAGCGAAGCAACCGTTGTGGAAATCCACACAAGACGCTTAGATATCACCTTGGCCCCATAACGGCAGTCTGCAGACGGCCATCAAATGAGGCATAATTCTGAATTTTTGTTAAAAAGTGATTACGCAAAAGTGCATATGACACCGGAACTCATTCATACCAGCTAAAACTTCTGACAGGCTTTATTTCAATCACAAAACACATCTTTTTTTCAAAGTTATCTTGAAGAACCTACGGTATTCAGTGTAAGACACCAAACTTGATGTTTTAGATTTAGAAAAAACTTGTTTAAGATTAAAAATTCTGCTGTAGTTGGGTTAAGAAGGACTTATAGAGACAATAAACTGCGGTTTTGGCAAACAAAATGTCATTCAGGAATTCACCTTTTATCGAAACATCGACAGTCTTTAGATGGAAATGTCAGGCAACTGGGTACATGAATACTGTCTAGCAGTAGTGGCAGTTCGTCGTTTTTTTAAAAAAAAGTACAGAAGAACCATTTTTCGACGTGAATTTACGGGGTTACTTAGTGGGATCTCATTGACAGACAATTTACGGTTTGCGTCTGTAAATTTGTTGACTAAAACCTTGTAACAATGGTGCTGGCTTAATTTATGTCACAACATAACCTTTATGTATTTACACAAGCAGTAGCGCTTCAATTTGGCATAAACTGTCTACATTGGAATGATAATGGCACATTCACGAGAATGAGGCACGCCAAAAATCTAAATGACCACCTACATACGTGGTAGAACACACTTCTTTTACGTTTTAAGACGACAAACGTCAGCTGCGAGTGCGATCCTAAGTGGGGATAAATTGAGTGTGATTTGGGATGCAGTTTACTGTGAGGTTGCTAAAGTGGCAACTCGAATGGATGAACCGATAACATGAACGAAATGTTCTTTCTGTGAGTACAAATTCAGACCCTATTCAGTCAATTTCCTATTAAACGACTTTTCTCCCCAAACGCATTCATTTTGAAGACAGGAATTTTGGAAAATTGTCACCTTTATACTTGCCTTACTCCTACAAAACCTTTCTCTCTAATGCAGTGCTAGTGAGTACAAAATAAACAAACCAAGTAGCTGGGATGGGTTAATTAAATTAATTTGGGAAATTCCGATTATGATTGGTTGACGAAAAGAAAGCAGTCGTGACTGACTTCTCTCTACTTATTTGTGGAAGCAAACACTGTTTGGCATTGTGGGATGATTAAAACATTTGGGAAAGTGACTATAAGGAAGAAAAAAGAGACGAAGAGAAAGATGGGAGTGTAGGTTAAATAGCCAACGCGATAAAAAAAACTATTCGCATTTGCAAAGCTTCGCTTTGATCTGCAAATCACGAGGTCCGACTGAAAAACAGCACACAATAAGGACGAAGCGACCGAATTCTCATTTTTCTTGATTCATTGCCTTCACTTTAAAGGGGTTGAAATAGCATGCAAATGAGTAAATTACTTTAATTAAGCAACTGCGTATTTAGCGATGACTTGTAGACAAAGGAATTCGGCGTTTGCAGTTATCGTGGTACTGACGAGGGCACCGTGAGAAAATACTGGGTTGTCTTTCAAGATTACAGCCACATTCTCGTGAAAGCAGGCCTTTTTCTTATGCGTAGTTAGGATAACGTGCTCACATTCTTTGCTGAAATGGATAGTATTGATTTCTCTGGTGCTTAAATTCAGATTCTCACTGGGCGGCACATTCAACTGGCTGAGAGGACGAGTGGTGCTCACGAGTAGTTTGAGCAGTTAAAATTGTTGCACACTGCGTTAGTTGCTTGCGTCAACCGCTAACTGTTTATTGTTGCAGACCCCATTGTTTGGGAAAGCGCGTAAGTTGTTGTAACGTATTATAAGCAATTGTAGGAACCATCATAGCTTGCACAACGCGCACGGCGAATGATGTCAACATGGTTAGCTGACGAACGAGGGTTGGTAGGGAAATCACACCACATGTTTTCGCGTCTGGCTATTCAATGGATTTCGCAACATTTTTCATTGTCGCTGCACATGACAACAGCATGCGTTCAGTTGAGCTCAAGGAGACATTGTGGGATGTCAACGAGCACCCACCAGTGAATGCCGAAGGGTAGATCGTCCTCGTTGCGTCGACGACGGCAGAGTGCCGAGTTGGCAGCTGTGGTGATGTGCTGTTTGAGGGCAAACGAGCGAACCAATGGAAACACGAGCGATGCAAGTGGCATCAAGACACACTTTGGTGCGTTGCACGGCAGTCGGTCGATGTGCGACTGCAGGAAATTGGCTCAAGTCTGCAGAAGTCACTTCAACTTACAAGGTGCAACGAGACGTGGCACCAGAGAATGAACGTGGCGAAGAACACTGGTTTTTGTTTGAGATGCAGAATGTTGAATGTCGACGAGATGTGCTTGCGTATCGTTGACTTTGATTGGTGTGTCGAGTAACCACCACGTGCGTGGGGAATGCAGCTTTGTCCTGAGTACTTGACAACAATGAGCATTTCCGACATCCTTGGTGGTTCGTTTTCGATTTGAAATGCTGGATTTATAATCATATTGTTATTCCAACCACGCAACTACTCGTTGGGGCATGAGCTGCTACTACAAACATTTAAACTACTAAAATCGTGCTATTTCAAATGTCCAGACCACTCTTAGCAGAGAGACCGTCTGCGGAATGCTTTTGAATGGTGAGTGCTTTCTAAACTGCGTTGTCGTGAGACGGATTTTGAAAGGACACTAGTCATGTTGATGACCCACTTCTGGTGCCAGCACCAACAACCCTCAAATTAATCGCTTCCTGTAAGACAATTACACAAAATTTAAATGAATGGTGTGATGCGCAACTTGTTTGACTGTTGAAAGAAATTCGTGTAAAACTGGCTACGTGGAGCAACTCTGCTCAAGGCAACGCTTTCAATTGTGTGGCTCTCCTCCAATCGAATTCGCTAATGTCGGCAATCAAAACAGGATTTTTAGCGCCGACTTCGCCCCTCGTTTAAATCACTAAGATATTCCGAGCTGATTAATAGAGCAATTAGCGTGAATTCTGATTACGAAGGATCAGCTGAAAAATATTTGCAAAATGTGTCCGATTTGAAAGGTAACCTGGCATTTGTTGTCGTCTGCAACCGCGTCAGACGACGTCGTCAGGTAGCACTTTTGCCGCAAAATGCTCTGCATTTTAAAACTGCATTCAAGTTCATTGACGCGGAATATTAGGCACGCCTGGTCACATGTGGAAGTCACGTTCGCGTGGAGGCATGGGATTGGAGGACAGTCAGCTGCCCCGGAAAAGAACTTGCCCATAAGCTGCACGCCATGTCCGATAGAAGTACGCACGCTCAATTCCACCCAACGAGACGACTGTCTTGATCGAGTGTGTGGTTGTTTGAATGTGCCCGGTGTGTTCTGAGACACAACCTTCACTCACGATTTTAAATGTGATTACTGCAACTAGGCAATCGTCTGCAAATATAGCGCAAATGTGTAACTTTGAAAGCAGACAATGTGTGATGTTATCGTCCTCACCAAATCGCGCGCTTTTTGTCAGAAAAATGTCGCTTTTCGATGTGCATTACTGCGAACCATCATTTTGAGTGCGAAGGTTACTCCTGAAATGTGTTACTTAAGAATGCGTCTGTTCTGACATGGATGTAGACCGTCACTAGCTCGCATTGTTCCCTCCTTCTTTCCTCTGCAACCTCCGTCAGGCCATTAATGCGAGCAGCAACTCGACAAAAGTGCCAAAAACAAATGAGGAGAAAAGCAGAGGGCACAAAAATACCTCCAGACGCAGTGCAATTATGCCACTCCAGGGGTGAGAGGAGGAATTGCCGTCAGCCAAATGAACGGATCTAATTAACCTCCGTGTTGACTGCGGGCGATTTATTGTTGCGTAGACACACCAATCAGTGACCTGGAGTGAAAGGGGATGACAAAATTGATGGATGCATTTAAAGTTGACGTGAAATGCATGACTCAAATGGCCACGGCAATGTTGTTAAAACACTGATTTGTGCGTTTGTGGAAAGTGCATCAAAAGAGAGACTCATTTTGCCATCGACAGTGTGGTTTTGTCCAGAATTCCCAGACATTCTCGGTCATCCAGACATCTGGCTCGTCGACTTATCCACTGTGTAAGACAGACACTGACAAATTTACAACATTGGTGAGCAGAATGCGTGATAATCCAACCGCATCAGCTGAGCCGAAGTGTGTACGATTGAGCCCTGCATCATTTTGTTCTCATTATCATAACAAAATCACGCTAGCTGTATTTTCGTAATTGGTCCTTTTGAGCAGTGGTGTCAGGAATAAGTAGCAACAGCAACTAGTCAAGTGTGAGCCATTTCAAATGGGATCATTGATTTGAGCCGTGGACGTTGAGGATTTTATTGCAATCAGGTTTCGACGTACACTCGCTGCCGAACGCGAGATCAACTTATCAGTACGCTCGGGGTAGTTTGCTCCACGACAATGTGCATCGCCATGGCTGCTGATTTCGTTTCCAGATGGTTAAGTTGAACTGAAATCGTCGGATATTCGCCGGGAAACAATTGACACTGCCACCCTGAGAGGTGACTGGGGTTTCGGAATGGCCCACAGAAAGCGGTTCCATTCAGCACTCTGTTTGAGGTGTAGGTGCGTCGGTGTACTTGCGTGAAAGTTCCTCTTCGTGCAGCAGACTGTGCTCTTGTTGCTGTCTAACTAGTCACACGCGAGCGAATGGGAGCAAATCGTTGCACCCATAAGGCGGAGGAAGCGTTCGACTTGACTAACACAGAGGGGCGCCTGTGAGTCACAGCGACCAACTATCCTGATGCAATTTGCTTCAAAAGCGAATCGACACGTTGACAGTCCGCTGCAAGCACTTAATCCCTCTTCATCTAACTACTGTCTGACGGTCACTCAAAAACACACACGAGGACGCAGCTGCAACTAGCTCAACGCTGCCGTCAGAATCATTGATTCTTGTGGCAAATCTGCGAGACAGTATCCACTTCAATGCCTAACAACGCAGTAATGGGCTCTCAGACGAGTCATTTAGCGACGTCTCGCCTGGTGAATGTGCTTAGCTGCTACCCGTTGTGTCTCGCTACATTTGGTTCGTTTATGCCTTGCCCCGCTTAATGGCCTGCGGTATGCGCTCGACTAAGTGCCAGTGACTTGAAGAGAACAGGTCTGTCGTAAGCACTCATCACCACCATGTTAATGGACGCTGCAGCATTGCAAGGCTGTGTGCTATGATGTGAATGCCTTCTGTTGAAATTCCGCAAAGTGTGACGTCGTGTGATCCTGGTGTTCTGTTACCTTGTTTTCTCCTTATTGCACACTGTCGATTGGAATGAACCTTGATGCGTGCAGGTTTGGACTAGCCTGCGTGGAGTTATCTCGTGTGATGTTATTTCGACTTGTGATGCCGTGATCAGATGCGGATGAAACCCGGTTTGCACCTTGCACACTCTGTGCAATCATTGACGACAGCAACCTCAACTTGCCTTGCAAAATCTGCAACCACTTTACGCTGGCAAATTGGTGAATGAATTCAGTGAAAACTTCCTTGAATCCACCACTGCATTTCCAGAAGCCAGCATCCTGTAGAGCAAAATAGGTTCTGTGAGACTGTGTGAGCAGTAAACCAAGCAATAAAATCTTGGGACAACTGCCCTGATCCATGGGAAATCAGGTGTTTAAATGGGACCGAATGTTTGCCAGACTATGGTGGAATGCTTCAGACGCATGTTTGTCTTGTGTCTGGTAAGCAACAGTCTGTGCTCTCAGCTTCTTTTAGCAGCTTCTTGATGTCTCACTGCCTTTTACTGAAATTCAATTTCGTGTTTGGGAAACACGTAGACAAACAGTGAGCAGAAAATGCCCAGGAATGCCATCTGACTTTCCTAACCTAAAAGTCCTTCTCGTGAGCACTACTAACGACCTGTGTTAGTGTCGAGAGTAGACGGTCTCAGTGAGAAGGTGGCCAAGCGGGCGGTCTGAATCGCAGTGTCGATGTGTCTCTGTCCATGTGTGTTCACTTGTTCAATACACAGTTGTCGCGACATGCACAGACGTCGCGTAGCAGGCAAACAGATCACTCGAAGGATTGTGGGAAGGGGCGTTGACACAGAGGAACTAAGCATGAATTAGCGTGATTCGCTAGATCCCGATTATAAATCCTCTGCAAGATAATCCCTTTAATTCGAGCGCACTTACGTGCATTGTCCTCAGGACGGTCCACGGATATTTCTCAAGCTCAACAGATCTTGCCGTTCCACGCACGGACGCTTTTTTAGTCTCTGATTCTTGTCACTTCGCTGTCAGTCACGCGCTTCACACTAGTGCATACTACCGAAATACTCTGGCCTTCTCACTCAAAGTACTGGCATCGTTGCCAAGCCGTTGGTTGTGTCGACGTGGTCGTGTTGTCAATTTGCCAACCTCTTCTTTCTCCGGGGATTTGTGCGTATCAACTAACGTTTGTAGTGGTGATAAGCGTCACAATTTAAAGACATCTGATGCGAAGTGGGCAGCATAAAATGACGTGAATGCGAAAGAGGGCAAATGCAGCGTGATTTGTAGCTGGCACTGATGGCAAGTTTTGGACGTGATGATAAGCGGTTGATCAAGTCTGCTAATGGGGCACCATCAGCAGACATCGGGTCTGCATTCTGGTTTCCAAGTGATTTATTCAACTGTGTGTCGTCCGTTTACGCGTCTTCTTTCTCGGTAACGCTATTTTAAAATGTTTGGGTAGTTTTACTTCGTCAAGGCATGTTGTGCCTTATGTGATTTTAGGCATCCCAAGGCAGTTTTTAACAGTTACAGCTGCAGAAATTCACCAATTACCTGTGTTCAATCTCACCTACAACGAATGCAATTTCAAAATGACATGCATTCCCTTTCGACTGCATAGTGGAGATGCCGGGCCAATGAACTGCAACGAGGCGCAAGATAGACCAGTTTTCACCGTCTAAACGGCGATAAAACAGCGTGGCTGAAAAGTAGGGATTAGAGTGTTGATTTAGATTGACACCGTTGAAGTGGAACGAGCAATTCGCCAACCAGGAATTCATCACCCCACGCTTCACCACGAACTGCCACACGCCCATTCACACCACCAATTACCAATTCGGTTACAAAGCGACTGTAGCGTTGTCGCCTATTCAACTTAACTAGTCATCGACTGAAGCGAGTCATCCGAGTAAGTCGTGCGTGAGAATTGCAGTTACGCCCAAAATGACTTAACTGCAAGCTCTGTTAGTTAATGCAGGCTGTGTTTTTCTCAGTCGACGTGCAGTTGCTTAGTGTTTCAAAAAAACAGCGTCTGAGTACTGAGTCACCTTTGCTTCTGCCTCAAAATGCATTTCGTCATTATCATGCGGAGGTTGCCATGGCAATGTCTCGCAAATGAAACACTGATTCCAGTTTGCAGCTAGTAAAATCACAGCTTTTGTCTGCATACTAGTGAACTTGTCCACTGAATTAGCCGAGATGAAGCACTGTCAGTTCTTCTTTGAGTCTGCGAGCAGCTAAGTAGCCCAATGTTTCCTTGAATGTCGTAACATCTATGAAAACACAGCACCTAGTTGTCTTGTTCAGCCCCAAATAAGGCACATTTACCGCTGACAAACAATCAATGTTGAATTTAACCCGAAATCAATATGTTTGAGATGTTAAGATGCTTCACCGAACAGGCAACGAGAGTTATCGACGTCACTAACTTCGAGAAACGGAACCGCGGTAACCAGTCACGCCCACTGCTCGCAACCAACAGGTTTGTGGGAAGATTTCTGTAAAGATCTGAACGACCAAAGTCTTTTCCTAGCCTTGCAAGATGCTTGATTTGTGGATCTGTACACCGTAAACCTTGATGCTTCTTGGGGTTCGATTGTTCAATGCAGATCAACCCTCAATCGAGTGTAAATCGCATCCACTTGTCCTGCTCACTGAGTGACCAGCAGCATGACGGATTCTGGAACACATTAATCAAAAGCCTTTGTAATAAGATTTCGCGGTTTGTTCTTGGGTACCTATTTTAATCTTTCGAGTGAAAAATCGACAGTTTCTTCATTTAGAGAGAACGGTGTGAGACTTTTAAATTTAGTTTCAATTCTTTTATTGCAGGATACGTTCAGACGAGTTGCCAAAAATATCCACACGCACTGTCACTTGGTTTAAACCCAGTTATTTAGAAATGATTAAAAGCTGCAATTAAAGTACAAACCGTAAAATTTGCTTATGGCACTTTTTGTTTAACTTTTGAAAAAAATAGTTTGAATTTTAAAACATCCTCTTATGAGGTTATCTGAAAGCATCGTAATCGGTTGCATTATCTGAGTGTACTCCGATTGCAGATTTCGCAACGTAGCTGATTTACTGTAACCGCTGGCTCATTTGTTTAAACCACTGTGAAACACGCCCGCCTCCTTCAGTTCCACTGATGCAGTCATTGTTTTATAAGGACAGTTCACTTTATTAATTTGTTCATTGAATTTCGTTTAAACGTAGCATTTTGCCTGACTTGTTTTACTGCATGCCTTCGCAAGAATTCAAAATGTGACCATCAATGTTGACGTTAAGTGGTGTTTTATTACTCCAGGCCTATTACGCAGTTGTTAGTGTGGATCAGAAAAATTTCCTGACTGTGTTGTTTGCTAATGACTTTTGCTTTCCATGCAAAATAGCGAATCATTTGGTGGCGCATTGGTTGTAAAAGCGACATATTGTTATTAAAACGGCGATAGTTTTAACCGAAATGATGCAGTCTATGTTGGCAACTTTCGTGTGCAATCTCCAAATTTTCAGTAAAGCAACAAGAAATGACTTATTATTTTTCATGAAGTTATCTCGTAAGAACTCATTTTCGGTTTGAAATGCTGATTTGTGGATCAAAAACGAGTTTTTGATGCATTATTGGCAATCAATAGAACAAATCAAGTGCATCAAGCGAGATAATTGGTTGAGCTAGGTTCTGCGTTTGACTTAAAAAGACAATACTAGACTTGCTATTTTACTATTTCGATTGCGTAAAACAAATTTTGCACTGGGCTTAAATTTGATCTCGGCAGGTTTTGCGTATTCTACATGGTCAAAATGAAGTTATCAAGTTTTACAAAATGCTTATTTAACAGGTTACGGCCAAAGCCCTAATTTTTTGCACAGCTCACATTTTCTCGAAATCAGGTTTTTTTTACTATTAAATTTCAATTTTCATAATTATTTGCATGAAGGCTTTTGAACTTTGTCATAATGCACAACTAACTCAAAGGCTACTCACTGTCGTGCAACTTTCCTCACTTAAAAAACCCATTTTACCATCTGTCAAAGCCTCGTTTGTGATTGGTCGTGTGTCAACCAATCACAAATCTCCTTGTCCCAGATTTATTACGAGGACACCCCAATTGTCGTTATAGCATTGCTTGCAATGGTTGGGGTCACTTTGTCCTCCGCAAATGAAACCATCCTCCCAGTGCACAAGCATTCCATTCTGCGTGTTCTAAACGCAACACTCAAAAACCGCCTCTCGCACGAAACCACCCAGAACATACCCTTCATTCCACTGGACCAACCAAAAACCAAGCGGAGACTCTCGTGGAATCTTCCGAAATTCCTCCGAGAATGCGGTCCAAGGGGGTACGTGCGGTGTCAGCAGGACTGTGAGGAGAAGGACTGGTCGAATCACATCCAACTCTCGACTATGGCATCGACATCACGTGATCGGGCCAGTTGGCCTGTGATATCAGATATGGACGCGGTGAGAACGGTACTCAAACCCTGCACGTCCACATCCACCGTGGTCGAACCAAGACTGCATCAGTGTTGCTCCATGGAACTGTTGGTAGAGGCTATCCAGCATCAACGATGGGAGCAAGTTCTGGGCATTCTGTCGCAGGACATTCCACTGAAATCGTCTACCGAGCATCTGCCTGACTCGTCAATGCTTAATCTCTTTCTCCACTGCAGTGTCTCAGCCAAAGGTTCGCAGGACTGCGACAAATTGTCACTTGCTGTGCTTGACGCCTTGATCGCTCATGGCTCCGTGGTGAGTGTAGGAGCAGACGGTCTCCAGAAAGACGTTCTTGTTGCCATATACAAACACCTCTACGCTCCCACGTCGATCGACTTCCACGGCTTCATGCGAAGGCTTCTTCAAAGCGGTCTCGAGGTGCCTTTTGACCTTCTAGTGAGTTGTGAACCCTCCGTCAATCCATATCACCACATTCTGGAATCTTTTGCAAGGTGGAAACTGAACAATCCTTGCAAATTGTCGCCGCCCAATTCCATTATCTCAAAATTTGTCCTTCTCTTGAACTGTCTCTACTCAGAAGCGGTAGACATCCCGGCGGTATCCAATTCCGCCGACGAAGTGGCAGTTTTAATGACCAAAACACATAACCGGATCGTTGAACTGCTTACGCGCAATCCCGCATCTCTGTTCGCTCAGACACGTATCAAAGTAAGGCGGATGTTTCCAAGAAAGTACTTCCGTGAGTTGATTTCCGACAGACTCTACACGGTGAGACCCTTCTTTCAAACCATCAAGGGTCTGGACAATCCCGCAGACGTCAAGGTCTTCTTTGATTGGCTGGAGATTGTGCAGACGCTGCCGGATAATGTTCGGCAGAGCCTTATTTTCTTGGAACAGCGTAACTTACAAAAGGAATTGACCTTTATCTTTTCCAGTTAATTTCAAATACACCTTCTTGGTAGGTGTACACTGAGTTCGCGTCCCTTTTTTCTTAACTTGAACGTGGCAATATGCGCGTTGCAAATCTCGTTTAGTAGAAAGAACACTGGAAATTGTCACTTCGTTTTTAAACTTTAAGTCGGGCAATTGGATAGATTAATAGGACATTGTGGCGTGCAAATCGAACCATTGAGTTCGAAGCATTTTCCGCACAAACTGAACTGTTAATGAGCCGTCGCGGCTTCCAAATCGTCAAATTAAACAACACTGTGGTATATCTAATCCCCCTTTTTTCACAAAATCAACGAATATGCTGAATTCAACTCCCTTATTAGTAAATTTATTGCGAATATCATCCTTGCGAAGTCAGAGACCCCTTAAATTTGACCTCGTTTTGGGGTTCTGGGGGTAAATCAAATGCCTTGGTGATCCAAGTGTGGTTCTCTAGACGTCTGGTTTTCAGAGGAAATCCGTGTTATATATGTTCAGACATCTAGCTTTAGGCGAACTACTCGCTTAAGTTTGTAGTACTGTAGTCTATTTACTCATTCTACCCGCATTGGTGTTACAATTTGGGAATAAAACGAACTAGTTGTCCGCCAATCTAATGTCATTCAATATATTAACCAATGGCTATCAATACCTATTTCATTGGTGAATATCGAAGGAGAATGCGAACAAGGAAGGGGATGAGAAGGCGACCGTTTACTCACTCGTGCGAAGGTGAGCCTGTTAACAAGACCCTTTTGGCAGTAGCCAATGAGAATCGCGGGTGAATCCCAACTTCCAATTATAATGCGTTCAGTGCGTATTGACCAATCAATAATGACAAAACCTATCTGCGTTTCGATTGTTAAATGTTCCATCTCCTTGACCAATCACTTTTAGCACATACACAGCTGACGCCGTACCGGTGTCCGGTAAGAGCTTTGTAAAAATGTCCGTTTTAATAGAAATTTCGTTATTTCAAAAAATCTGCCGTTTTGTCATGGTAATTCTGTGGGTGGTCCCAAAATGAGTTGGCAGGCGCAACACTGATAATTCGGCAAAAGCAAGCCATTAACAACTCTGCCTGACATATGTTAATCAGCTAAAAGGTGATTTGCTGCTTTTTCTCAAAAGTTCGCGTAGCATGTTAGCTTGTGCGCATCATCGCGTGTGTTCGTACGCCAACTTAGCACTTACTGTTACAAAAGAACAGATGTCATGTGTAGATGCTTTGGTGTGGCCTGCAAAACGGCCTCAAGTGCCGTCAAGATATGTTCGACACATGATAAACTACTTTCAGGCTAGTGCAGCAGTCGTTTTCTTTCTTTGTCAATGTAGCGGTGTTTGGCGAAACCCAAACTCCATTCGCGTCCAGTAATCCGGTCGTCGCAGCCTCACACACGCGTCTTCCTTTTCACGGCGTGTCCGTCAGTCATGCAGGCCGCCTGCTCATTCACCTATCTGCCACTCAGACGTCTGTATTTTTACTAGTCCACGCAGTTGCATCAGTCAACATCAACACAACTTACTTGAGCTGTCCAGCAAACGGTTTTCTTCATCTTCTTCGCATGTAGGCGGGATTGTGAAACTGGTGTGGTTTAAACTGACAAGCCAGGGCCTCAACAACACCTAACAAGGTCATAGGCAGTGTCAGCGACCTTGTTCATCGACCGCATGAGAACAGCAACCAATGAAAAGCCGGGATGAGTCACAAAAGTCAATCAAATTGTCGCAAATCCTTTAACCGGTTATGAAAAGCAACCTACCTTTTTCCGTTATTTTGCCTTTAATGGTCCGAATTTCTCACTGTCATAACCCATTTTTGTTAGTAACCATCCAACCATATTCTACATTGATTGCTTTAGTGTGAGTATCGGTAACCAATGGAAGCGAGAGGTGAGTCACAGAAACAAATCAAATTTTCGGAAAACATGTTCGGTCAATCTACAGCTCACGCGTGACCTTTGAAAGCCAGCTAAAATTGTTCCCACAGGAGGAGAGTTGATGAGGGGTCACGGCAAACACTTCAAGGTCATTGTAGGAATCAATCAAATCAGGTACGTGATGAATGTTGTTGGAGGGAGGGAGGGGTATGTAGTGTACACATCACATCATGACAACGCCATCACTAAGCGGTCATATCACGTCAGTGTTCGTTTCACATCGAACCAAATGGAGACAAATCAAGCCTTCTGGCAGCTTTAGGGAAAAGTAAAGAAGTACCAGCCTCCTAAGCACATTTCCCTCTCTATACTGCTGAATAAATAATTGCAGTGGCCTGATTACGTTGGGTTAAAAACTAGGCGCGATCCTGATTGAAGACAGGTCAGAAGAAAACAAGGACGCTGCTTGTAACAATTTTTTTTGAAACCGTGGTTGTGTGTCTTCACGCTAGCGAATCAGCTTTCAGGCAGCACACCTGGGATTTAGGCGACAATCGTGGCTCGACAGCTCTCCAGTGCCATGTGATGGACACTGATAGATTTCTCAACGCGATTGGCTCTTTTTACATGCAAACCATTTTGTGGCTGCAAAAGCATGCAGTTGAATGATAAATCTATTATTAGTTAACGTGTTTTTTTTTTCAAAATTAATTTATTACAATGCCTTAACGCAATTTAGCACATAATTCACCAATGGAAGCTACGCAAATAAAGACAAATGATTGCCGAATAGTTTTAGATTAATATGAATTCTGATATGTGTGTCACTAAAATATGCAATATTTTGACCATAATCTGTTGCAGCCAATTACAATTAACTGATTGTAACTAAAATTTGAATTCAGGCTAATTATTTTGACATAAATTTTGATTACGATTTCTGAAGCTTGTGGTGTAGTGCCACACCAGATGAGATGCATGGGAGAATTTCGAACTGTTTTCGAAGTTTATTGATTATCGATTTCTTGAATGCTATTATGGCAGATAGAATGAATTCACCAATGGGGTGAAGGCGGCAAATTTGAATTCAAACAATTTATGCGGATATGTTAATGCCTTTTACAGACATCTGAATCGCGCCAGCTGGTGTTAGAAAACAACTGGCTGCCTCAATTTCTGCTAATTATATGATGGTGCTTGCGAGTCTGAATAAAAATTAATTTAACGCATCGAAATGCTCCCTTTTATGAATTAGGGTTCGCACGATTTGAATGTCAGCTGTCACAGCCATAAATTTTGAAAGTTTCCTGCGTAGTGGTGGTGGTATCCACATTCCATCGCAAATTGAATTTCCGCCAATGTGAACAGATGGTGTCAATTACTGCCTTTAACTTTACGCTTAAGAGGTTAATCTTTAGCAGACACACCGAATTCAGTACGCCTCAAATATCATCGTTTTTAGTTTAGGTATTGACAGTATTTCGAAAAAAAGATGGCGTACAACTCGAGGTTTTTAAGGGGTAGCAAACACAAATCGCAAATTTTTATTATTTCTGGGAAATATGCAGGTTCCATATTTGATTTTAGAAAAAGAAATTAACTAATTTTATCCACGCCTGACTTTTGGGTCCCAAATTTGGGACAGCCCAGTTCTAGCACAAGATACCACCATCCGTGAGAAATGTGCTCACATCGGTAGCAGCCAATCAGGTTTGAGAACTAGTTACTAGCGATCACTGTAGCGTAGTAAATTTGGCCAATCACGCTTATTTAGCGCCCAAAATAGACCATCACCTCACCTGTACTCCTTCGTATACTCATGAAAGATTTCGCATATCCCTCTCTGTGTGATTAATCCTGCTCAAGTTTCTGCACAATTTCTGGCACTTTAGTTAAATGTGAAGATTTTTTGAACAAGAAAAATCACCACTTTGGGCCAAAGTAAAAGCACATTTGCACAAGCACTGCCAAAATCATCAGAATTTTGTCTAGTGTTCTAGAAAATGGCATATTTCACATCAAACGAAAACGCCAAAAGTGAGAAAATTTGAAAAGCTTCGCAACAACCGATGTCTAAATTTACACTCTAAATTATTTGAAATTGTGATATTCGTTTGCACTTTAGTGCATTAATTGGACTTTAGAGTGCGCAGACAATTAAACAGAGGAAATGCGCTGCAACGGAACGCAAACTGACCGGTCACCTGACTGGGTTACGACGTGAAACGCAAGAATAATTTAATGAATGGTGTGTACACAGAATGCAGGCACTCGGTGTATCAAATTCACCAACAGTGGCGTCATGTCCGCCAGGTGTTATCGCGCACAGGTTGTGGGCGTAGGTGGTCACTGGGGTGTCACCTAAACACAGTACTTCAACTCGGTTTTTTCTCAACTAATAGCACACCAAACGCCTCGTGTAACTATTTACAAACTGCCTGTGCTCAGATGGTGTGTTTGAGGAGAATTAGCAATGAAAATGGCCAAAATTGGTGAGGTTCTTGATATTACAAGAGCCAATGACATCTCTGCATATGTTCACCAATTAAACACGCATCTTACCTCAGCAGATCAGCTTAAATCGGCGTTAAAAATGGTTATCTGGCTTGATTTTTAAACAGTTTATTCCAAAACAGTGATTACGGAATTGCGTACACTGCTATTTTTACTGCTTGTTATCTATATCCCTCATTTTTTCAACATTTTAAGTACAAAACCGTTTGACCAATGAGGATCTTTAAAGCAAATAAGCAATTTTTTTCAAAATTTTGCCATTTATGACTGAATTGACGTAGCCTCCATACTCGATTGGTCAACTGGTAGTTGTTTAAATGGATCGTAAGTCAATATAAATTCTTGACTTATTTTGTTAAAACTACCAAAGTTATAATTAAAAAGAATTGTTTTCGACATATTGCATGAGTTTAAACCTTGCGTGAGAACTAGAAATGAAACATGAAGTTTTCAAAATATTTACTCGGATGGCGTTTTTAGTTTGAAACAAGTCGGAGTTTGGTATAGTCGATTCCAAAGCCGTTATCAACCTTGAATTTAATAGACATAATGTAATGATGATGATGATGATTTGGTGGCGTTTTTCGATTAAACACAACCCAGATTCACGGTCAT